CCGTGATGATGTTAATATGTAACAGTTTTGACGCGCTGCTACCTTTTTTTAAAGGGAAAGGTAAGAGAGGCGCTTTCGCTCTAAGTGCAATCTGAAGAGTAGGCGGAAAAATAAACCAATTTTATTAATACCCAATGACAAATCTTTTAATACCTTATAATTCAAACAAACGCTCGCTTAAACTAATAAAAAATCTAAACACCTTAATCGTATATCTACAACATTATACACCTTAACCAAATAACAAACGCGACTTATTCTAACACAAAGAAACTTGTAGAGTAGCCGGTGAGTGATCGCCTGGCTACCGCGCAGTTACAACTAAACGAAACACGCATTATAAATTATTGACAAAGAGGAATTAACCCATTAAGGCCCAGGCTAAACCTGGGAAAGATAGCGCCAAACTAACTATGCCAATCGTAGCTAAATCGTCAAAAAAAATACCCGTGTTTTTTCTTTTGCCATTTTCAATTGTTTATAAAAAATTATTTAAACAAATTATCAAAAAGTTATTATTTTCAAAAAACTGATAGCGGCAATCGATTCTACGGGAAAAAACATGACAGAAATGTATATAACGTTTTTTTGTCAGACGTCAATTTGTTAGTGTAAAATGGCTATAAACAATTGCAAGTCTGTCAGGTAACTGTGTATACGCCAAATCCCAAGCAAAATCTATTGCCGATAGCGCCAAACTAACTATGCCAATCGTAGCTAAATCGAAAAAAAAAATACCCCTGTTTTTTCTTTTGCCGTTTTCAATTGTTTATAAAAAATTATTTAAACAAATTATCAAAAAGTTATTATTTTCAAAAAACTGATAGCGGCAATCGATTCTACGGGAAAAAACATGAAAGAAATGTATATAACGTTTTTTTGTCAAATGTCAATTTGTTTAAGAAAATAGGACAGAAAGCTTTGAATTTGGATGAAGCTTCATACTATAGAAATTTGAATGTATTATAGAAAATCGCTATTTTACAGTTATTTGTTTTTGGAACAAATTGACATTTGACAAAAAAACGTTATATACATTTCTTTCATGTTTTTTCCCGTAGAATCAATTGCTGCTATCAGTTTTTTAAAAATAATACCTTTTTGATAATTTGTTTAAATAATTACTTATAAACAATTGCAAACGGCAAAAGAAAAAACAGGGGTATTTTTTTTTTCGATTTAGCTACGATTGGCATAGTTAGTTTGGCGCTATTGGCAATAGATTTTGCTTGGGATTTGGCTTATACACATGTACCTGACAGACTTGCAATTGTTTATAGCCGTTTTACACTAACAAATTGACGTCTGACAAAAAAACGTTATATACTTTGTAACAGGCTGTCATTTAGTCGGAAATCACCTGAAAGTACCCGTACTCTAACTATATGAAGCCTTGTTATCTATGCGCTCGATGCGCATTAACCTACCTTGCCTAGGAGTGCGCCTGCGCAGAGTCTCTTCAAAGTTCCGAGTTGGGTTCTCCCAACTCGCCACTTGGTGGCGCTGTCGCTGCTTGTTGGTAGCGCTCGTGCGGCCGCTATAGGAACCTAAATTGAGGATTCCCGCCTAACGTCTCGCACACTTCGTGCTGCGTTACCGGCGAATTCGAATGCCAACGTAAACAATGCGAGGCGCGACCTTCGGGCAAGGGAATAACAAAATAACGACTAATGAACTCGTTTAAACGAAACAAAGGGTGATTTATTTACTCCAATAAATTACACGGAGGGTATGCCGAGAGTCTCACGCACGCACGCGTGAATGGCAACACACGCTTTTTGAGAGAGAGAGAGATAAAACCGCGATGCCGCGAACTACCTGCTCGCACGCAAAACAATACACTCTTCGCGCTCGCTGCGCGGATCCGCACGCAAAATCAACAACAATTAATACGGGGAGAAAGAAGGTGCACCTACCGCAACGACGGCGTGGATACGGTGGCCAACCGTATCCAAATAGCACGTAGATCTTAACTGCCCCGCTACTCTGCCTCTAACGCGGTTGCTGCTGTTGTTGTTGCCGCTGCTGTTGCTGCTGTTATTGCTGTCGCTGCTGCCGATGCTGCTGTCGCAGTTATCGCTGCTGCTCCCGCTGCTGCTGCTAACGCACCCACGCACTCGCTCGCGATGTCACCAGGGAAAACCAAAAAAACAACAACGAACGGCACGGAGAATACGGAGGTTAGGCGCACGGATCGACTGAGTAGCACAGTCATACTGGCGCTCGGAGCCTCCCCTCCCGGTCGTTGCCCCTTACGCGCTCTCTCTCTCTCGCGAACCGAACGCGGCTCACCTCGCTTAACCGCTAATTCCATCGCGCGAGTCAAACGATTTTCGGTAATCGTTGCAACTTTTCTGTCATGTTTTTTTCCGTAGAATCGATTGCCGTTATCAGTTTTTTGAAAATAATAACTTTTTGATAATTTGTTTAAATAATTTTTTATAAACAATTGAAAATGGCAAAAGAAAAAACACGGGTATTTTTTTTTCGATTTAGCTACGATTGGCATAGTTAGTTTGGCGCTATCTTTCCCAGGTTTGGCATGGGCCTTAATGGGTTAAATTAAGGTAGCCGACAAGTGATCGTCTGGCTACTTAATAATTCGCGCGGCTACATATCACTGCGAGAGAGAGAACAACCGAAAGACAGAGATGACCTAACCTTTGTATTCTCTTCGATGATCTCTGGGAGACGAGGGTGGCAACTGCAGGGCAGGCCGATTGTCCATCTATTAGCCCATTTTTAGGTAGTGTGTGACAAAACGCTAATTGCAGTCTCTTTCTCTCTCTCTTTTTCTAGTTCTCTCTGTCTCTCTCTCTTTCTTCAACTACAGCGTCTTCTTACGTTTTCCTTCTGCAACGATTTGTGTCGCTCTCTTTAGGCTATCTCAGCCGGGTCTGGTAATTTATGGCAACTGAAAAAGAGGTACAGTATCAAGCGTATAGAAAAAGTGAGCTCAATATTGACCATTGAGCCTTGCTGAAGGCAAAGGGGAAAGGCAGAGAGACCAACAAGAAACAGGCAACTGCCTATTTTCGTCACAAATAAAAAATTCATACAATCTTACTCAATTTATGTAAGCCGTTTATAAATGAAAATAGTATCCGTACCGTTATAAGATTGATTTTACTACATTCAAAAATTTTTTTTAAATAAATAAAACGCAATTGAAATACATAGTGAGATAAGTAAGAATTAGCGATGATTCAAATAGAGATTTGATAAAAGTAGTACAGTAAGTAATAAAGCAACTATTTACGCAATATTTGGTTTGCAAGATTTGTTATAGTGATATTTAAATAAGATTGATACAAAAATAGTGTATTTGAAAGAATAGTAATAATAGAAAAAAATAAAAAATATAATATAATTATAATTTTTGTTATAGTAAAAAAGCTTTCGAGTAACTTTTTACTTTGTCAAAAGTTTTTTTTTAGATTTCACTTGTTTCAATGTAATCCAAAATAATAATAAAATACGAATTAAAAAAATTCAGTTAGTCACCATATGCAAATCATTCACATAGAATAGTTGTTAAATTACATAAGTAGTTTTTTTATTTTTTTATTTGAAGACTTTTGAATGGATAATAATTTTTCTTTATAGATATATTATAGGTTATTGTCTTTTTTGAGGGGCATCAGTTTGTTATAAAAATATTATATAATTATCTTTCTACCCTTTCGCCCATGCCTTTTTAACGATTTTCGAATTAGAAACATGAAACCAGTTAGTGTCTTCGCATAGTTTAATATTAATTGAAAGAACTGAATAATGTGGAAACTCAAGCTGAAAGCCGGCTAACAAGCTCCATACTTATCAAGTACTTGATCCAGCATGCGCAATAGAAAGTGTTGAATAAATTTTTAGACGGATATTATTCATTTTTCATTTAAAAATCACATATAGTAGAAATAAACACATTCGATTCACAGAAACTGACATACCTTGATACCTTGCACCTTTTGTTGAAAACTTTATCTTATTTGAGGGAACTATTTTAAGTAATTTGTACGCATAATTTGAAATGAAAACAATAAATAATAATTTTAGTCTGGGTGCAATCCACAGTTCTCATTCCACTATTTCCCTTAAATCTAGAACTTTGGTAATTTTCGATTTCGGTCTTTCAAGAACAGTTATTCATATGGATCACTGTAAATTAGATATTGCACCTTAAAATGACATTGTATTTGGTAAAATATTATACTGTATTCAATTTGTTAAAGTTGAAATGAGAAAAATTCATTAGTAACATAAATTTAAATGAAAATAGAAAACAATCAACGCATACGAATGAAACAGAAAAAAAACTTCAAATGCAAAATTGAATTAACTAGACGTAATGTCAGTGTTCGAATTCAAAATTAAACAACTACAAATTACTCAAGTCTATTGATAAAGATTTTTTCGGATTTCGTTCTTAATTTGATTTCGGTATCTTTCTTAATTTCATTCTTAATTTGGTTTCGATCGTAAAATTTCCAGCTCTTTTCAAATCCAATAAGGGTTCTCATTAAAAACAACTTTGACTTTCAAATGACCTAGAAATCGAAGCTTAATATTAACACTGAAATGACATGTAGATGATCCCACTGTCCTAAACAACTTTCGTCTAAAAATTTTTTTTATCACGTCAACTTTTCGAGATATTCAGATTCGTCATTCAAAATAGGATACCTTGTATAGATATTATATATACACACATACGTAGTTCTTGAAGTCACAATAATAAAACGTAATCGTAAAAAGTAATCGTACCACCAAATACTATTTTATAAGTGATTATATATATATATATATATATATGTGTGTGTGTGTGTGTGTGTGTGTGTGTGTGTGTGTGTGTGTGTGTGTGTGTGTGTGTGTGTGTGTGTGTGTGTGTGTGTGTGTGTGTGTGATAATAGTTTTTGAGTGGAGAAACAGTGTCAGAAATTAATATTTTCAATGTATAATGTAAAATTTTAAGTTCCATTTTAATGATTATTTGTATTTTTCAGATCTCCTATCGATGAAGGCAATGATAAATCAATAGTTATTGATGAAGACCTAACTATATGCGATGGCTTAGCTATTGATTGGATTTACAATCACGTATACTGGAGCGATGTAGGAAAAAAAACTATTTCGCTAACTGATTTTGATGGTAACATGAAAAAAACTCTGGTTACTGAGTACATTGAGGAACCTCGAGCTTTAGCACTTAATCCATTAGACGGTTGGATGTTTTGGAGCGACTGGGGTGAAACTGCTCGAATAGAAAGATCTGGAATGGATGGTTCTCACAGATCAGTAAGTTATTTTTTTATATTGTAGAGTTTCATGAAAAAAAACATAGAAACTATTTTTATTCTGATATCCTCCGGGATACAATTATAGGATAAGGAAATATAATGAATGAATGAAAGATAAGTAATGGAAAGAGAGATAACTATGACTTCATAATTATGGGATAAGAAAATGTAATGAATGAATGAATGAATGAATGATGAATAATGGAAAGAGACAGAACTTTAGATTTTACTGAATTCCTTAATTTTTTACATCGCAAAGTGAAGCTATTAAAAAAATTTCATATAGCCAACAATTATTTTTACTGTGTAAAAGTTGTCTCTATTCTAATAAAACTTTCTTCTCGTAAGATCTTTGTAAGTGATTACATATTGCTCATTTTTCCAAATACTTCCTGCTTTTAGACATTACGCATAATTTAGAATTTTGAAAAATCTATGTGTTTATTTCGTATGTCAATTATACAACGATCTTAACTTGTCGAGAGATTTGGTCGCGTGCAACGATGTAAACAAATACTTGATTACGTCTACTGAACACAATAGAGAGAAAGAGAGAGAGAGAGAGAGAGAGAGAGAGAGAGAAAGAATCAAAATAAATACCGTTTTTTCTCCGTGAACTACATAAATGAATTTATAGCATTCATTCCGTTCTATGATTTAACTAAATAAATAAGTCTTCAATCTTTTATTCATCTTAATAATTAAAATAAAATGAAAATTTATATCACACTTCTAATGTACACGACTTATCCAATATTCTGCCGTCGAGCACTCGCTAACGTCCACGCGCCGTGCCGAACTGAGCGTGTGTGCACACTCATAGTTGTTTGTATGTTTTGAAGTCCAACGCAAGGACTGGCGAGGCAGAGAGGATCACAGCAGAAGAAAGAATGAGACAGCTAAGAGAGAAGAAGCGCGGCGAAGAAAGAAGAACACGGTGATAGAGAGAGAGAGAGAGGGAGAGAGAGAGACAGACAGACGGAGAAGGAACCCTAGTCACCGAGTTTCGGTAGTATCTGCTAAGTATTAACAGAGGCCGTCAAGCTAGCTGACTTCTGCGTTCTTTTTCGAATTTTTTCCACGACCTCGCCGATAAGTTCTTAAGGATACACGCCTGGTATGCGGACGGGATTCATGATGCACGCTTGAATTTCTATTACTACCGGCAGTACAACCGAGCAACCGCAACAGTAGTAGTGAGGGCAGCAGCAACAGCAACAAGGACAGCGAGAAACGGAGGACGGCGAGGCAACGAGAGGAGTCACTAGTAGTTTTGCCACCAACGACCAGGAAAACAACGGGCGAGGACGGTACCGTATTTTTTTCTTCTCTATCTCTCGTATACTCTGGGCGCTGGCTAACGGCATGTAGCGTGGTAGACCTGCCAGCTACATCATCAGCCGCGGACATTGAGCGTAGTGTATGAACGAGTATTGTGTTAGATTTAAAGCTAATTTGGACAATCGGTGGTCAGATCTTTCTCTTATCCACTTCCGCAATCACGTTTTGCTGTTCGTACGTAATTTAGACCAGCGTTTGATCATCGGAAGTATACAAATCTGTCGTTATCGAGTAAAGGCCTTAAATTTAAATCACTGTCATGTAGGTTATTGCCTGAGTCACTACTCATCCCGAATCCTGCCCCATAAATAGATAAATTAGAGAGACCACAGATCAGAGGGGCCTTAGATCAGTTCGAGCCTCAGACCAGTTATCTGAAGTGCATGAGCTATCAGATCAGCAATCTTAGATTACGCGCGAGAGCCCTAGACTCACCTCCCACCCCACCCAATCTGAAATGCGTTTAACTATTAAAATTTAATTAATATAATTAAATATAATTTATCTATATGATATAAAATATTTATATAAGTTAATTATGTTTATATCTAACATAATTCAGATTAAGCTCAGCGAAAAAAATGAGAGGAATAGTGAGGGTGTGACCCAGCAGACAGGAGTGAGCGCCCAAATAAGAAGACTGCATTTTTTCCTACTGAAGTTAAGTCTATAATTGGAAATATAAGAGTTTGAGAATATATGAGTTTGAAAATATAAGAATTTAAGAATATAAGAGTTTGAGAATATAAGAGTTTGAGGTTTAATAGAATATTAACAGTGTCGAATACAATCATTTCAATAATTTTTTTATAAATGAAAATTATAAGAATTATCATTTTATTGTGTGCTATTACATTATTGGTAAAAAAAGGATATATTGGACCAGTAAATCTGACCAGATTCAAAGAAAGTCATTACCCACAAAACGAACTTAATAATATTTCGGACCAATTTATATTTACCATATTAATAGGAAGTGAGTACCATTTTTTTTATGTCATAAAAAAATAATAAACAACTCAAGGCGGAAATTATGCGTCTAAATATATATATATATATGTATTTCTCTCTATCTCTTCTTCTATTTCGCTTAACTATTTTATGTTGTAAAACTGACTCGAATAAATATTATAAATATAAATGCCTAGGAGCAATCTTATTATTGCCCTATCTGGAATTCATCAAGCAAAATGAGGTGACCCACACAACCAAGAGTAAACTCCACACGGGGTCTGCAGCCTTCGGGGAGCAAGCTCGGCGAATCTGAAAATTTTGGCTTCACGGCCACGTAACGCATCCTGCGCTCGTGCACGTCCATGGGTCGAGTTTGATCTCCGAGTGCAGTACCGCTGACTCATTCGGGGGTTCGCGACAAGCCGTCCCGGTATACATCATCGCAACATTCGTTATCATCTATTTTCTCACACTCTACATTGACGATCACACTCATACGTCTACTCCTCTCTCGCGATCGATTACAATAAATTTGTCGTAAACCGTTCGACCCTAGATTCGCTACAACTTATCCTCTAACCGCAAGCTAAAACTAATCAGTTACTCCACTGTGGATTCATTTTCATAATTGTCGTGTCGCGTGATGGTGCCCAGACCCGAGAGCAGCAGTTAATTTTTTATTACGTGTCTTCGAATTTCGACCTAAGGTTCGAAGTCGAGCAGTGTGTACACACTTCTCGTGAACGCGCATGCCTCATCTCACGCGACCCATTTCCTCCATTCTTTTGACTTTTAATGCCTAGCGATATTTTGAGTACCTATCAGCTATTTGAATTCTCCGTATTTCCTAGCTTGCGTCTTATTTAATTTAACGGGCTCATTTTACTAAACCAATACTTCCCGTTCGCGTCTCTCGCGTGGTGTCATACTCGTCGCTCTGAACTGTTCCCGAAAATAAGACCGTTTCCCTGACGTCTTTTACAATTATTTCATATATTATATATTATTTTATTTCCGTACAATATCTATGATAATTTGTATTTAATTATAATCATGATTAAATATATATATGATTTATGATTAAGTACTTTTGTGTAAAAAAAAATTACGATTATTTCTTCCCGTGTATTACACGATACGGCTGAGTGAGACGCTCATCTCTAGGCGGGCTAAAGTCACGCCAGAGACGAAAATTGTTTTTCTCGTTCACATGTTCGAGCGCATAGGAAATCGGCGGAGGTTCATTTTTCGGCGACGGTCGAGTAAACGTAATTAGACCTTTCGCTTATAAGATCGGGTGGATTTTCTTGCGGTCCCATATTTTCTGCCTACTCGGCTGAGTGGAGTTGGCAACGTGATTTTTTTTTAATATTCGAAATTAAACACAGCTTAACAAAAACTGAGTATTAATTTACATATGACATGAGCATCTGAAATTCGATGTGTGCGCTTGCAAATGTTCCTTTTTGCGAGATAGTCAGAATGTTTTTTTTTTCCTTCTTCGTTGCTTTGTGTCCGCCGCATTAAATGATTAATACTTTTATATTATATTATATTATTCTTTGTTGAAATATTCTTCGACTATTTCTATTTTTATTATCTTCATTTGATATACAATACGGTATAAATTATTAAGTATAATTGGTATCTCGTCAGTAATTATTTAAGGAATTTAGAAAAAATTTAAAATTTTTTCGGATATTATTATTATTATTTACTTTATTTTTATTGCCGACGATACATTTTTATATTGTCGTCCCAACGTTTTTTTTTTATTATCCCAAAAGGGACCCTGGGCCATAAGTTATCCGTGAAGCGCTGCCGGAGAAAGTTTAGTGAGGCTCTGTATTAAAAGAAATTAAATACGAGTGTACGTTAGCCTATAAGTGAAATGGCGATTGGAGCGGCTATTTTACAGCTACTGACTAGCATGACAGCCAGCTTTACCTTACAGAATATTGTACAGGGAATTACTGAATTCGATGGAAAAAATGTGCCGCTTAAGGATTTCATTCAAGACATTCGTAATTGAAGGGCACTGATATCGGATGGACAGGAACAGAATGGTGTTCATTTAATTATCGCTAAATTACGAGGACCCGCACGCAATTGCATTTACGGAAAATCTATCAAAGCAGTCGATGATTTGATCAAGATATTGAAAGAGCGCTTCGCACCCTGCAAGGACTTTGCGTACTATGATTCTAAAATTCATAGTTTACGCATGAAGCAAGGAGACTCGGTTGGTGATTTCCATTGGTAGAATCAACATTTTGATAAATTGCGCGCAGAATGCGCTGAAGGAAGAGCACGGGGAAAACTTCACCGAGACAATGATGACTCCGATGCGGAATTCAACTATAAAAATCTTTATAGATGGACTGCCAAAGGAAATCGGGCATCTAGTGGATATTAAGCAGCCTAAAACCCAGGAGGATGCGTATAAAGAAACACTTCGCATAGAAACAAGGAATAAATCGAGGGCAAGGCATGGCGAGCCAAACCCTAATAAACGGACGAGTTTACTACGCAGTCTTAACATAAATTTTGTACAAGATCAACAAAACGACCAAGAAGAGCAATACGGAGATGAGTGGGATGAATTATCCGCGGAAATTCAACAGTTGTTCATGCAGCGAAATAATGGACAACAATCATACATAAATAATCAGAATAACCAAGGATAACAGCAGAATCGACCTC